TTTATGTTTTTACATGTCTTGTCAACCTTGTGGAACAAGATGGGAAGTTTTAGTGCATTTTATTTTATACTCTAGAACAGTTTAAATACCACGGGAATTGTTTGTGTTGTTTTTTAAACATTAAAGTATTGAACTATACTTTTTGGCTTATTTCATGGCTATTAATCTATTCAAGGTTTTTGGCTTCTTAGTTAATTTTGTTTTTATTAATAATACTATCCCCTGGCTAGTCCTACATTTTAACAAATGCTTTTCTTCTAACCGGCTTACTCTAGGTGTCAGATAAAGTGAGAGCTCCTCGTCAACAATGCCGCATGTCCTTATATTCTTACATAGGGAGTGGTGAACTACCATGTTACCTTGTGCATCACAAACCTTTCACTTCTGAGTTTGTTTGAAGTCTTCCGTCTGCTCCAAAATCTGTAGGTTTGACCTGTTAATTTTATTAATACTTGCAGTTTAATATGACAGTTCATAGGGAAACCTTTACCTTAATGGCTAGCATTTATTTAGCACTAACTATATGCCAGGGATTTTGTGCTAAACCCTTGAAATGGATTAGTTAACATGTTTTTCAAATCAAGTGTTTTAAATGGGAGAGTAACATGAATATACATTTTTATTTTTAAAAGAGGCTGCTAAATGTTAAAAATGTACTTGAGAGAAGCAAGAGGGACAACAGTTATAGAATTGCAGAAAGCAAATTAAGATGGTCGCTTTATGGACTATGATGATGGGACATAAGCTGGAAAAAAGTGAATCGATTCTAGAGCCATTTAAAATAATGGCTCTATGGGACTTGGTGGTATGGGAGCGAGGAGGGAACAATTGAGGACGACTCTCCAGTATGAATTCGCTGATGATGAGCAAGATGCACACTCTGCCTGAAGGCTTTCCCACATTCTTTACATTCATAGGGCCTTTCTCCAGTATGAATTCTCTTATGTAGCGTAAGATGGGCAATCTGGCTGAAAGCTTTGCTACACTCCTTACACTCGTAAGGCTTCTCTCCTGTGTGAATTCTCTGATGGAGAGTAAGGGATTTACGATGGCTAAAGGCCTTCGCACAAACACTACATTCGTAAGGTTTCTCACCAGTATGACATCTTTGATGACAAATCAGAGATGCTTTCTGCCTGAATGCCTTCCCACATTCAAGACACTCATATGGTCTTTTGCCAGTGTGGAGCCTCTGATGCTGAACGAGATACGAGCTGTCGCTAAAGGCCTTCCCGCATTCAATACATTCATAAGGCTTCTCACCACTATGAACTCGCTGGTGTTGAACGAGGTGTGCAATCTGACTGAAGGCCTTACCACATTCCTTACATTCATAAGGTTTCTCTCCAGTGTGTATTTTCTGATGTTGCACAAGGTGTGCATTTTGGCTGAAGGTTTTGCTGCATTCCTTACACTCATAAGGTTTCTCTCCAGTATGAATCCGCTGGTGATGAGCAAGGTGTGTGCTCTGCCGGAAAGCTTTCCCACATTCCTTACATTCATAGGGTTTCTCTCCAGTATGGACTCTTTGATGAAGAGTAAGGGAGCCACGGTGGCTAAAAGCTTTCTCACAGATATCACATTCATAAGGTTTCTCTCCTGTATGAACTCTCTGATGTACTGTCAGGGATGAGCCATGGCTAAAAGCTTTCCCACACACATTACATTTGTAAGGTCTCTCTCCAGTATGAATTCTCTTATGTTGAATAAGTCCTATGTGATCAGTGAAAGCCTTCCCACAATCAACACAGTCAAAGGGTTTCTCTCCAGTATGGTAGTATCGTCGATGACGTATCAGAGAAGCGTTCTGCCTGAATGCTTTCCCACAGTCAATACATTCATAAGGTCTTTTCCCAGTGTGAATCCTTCGATGATGAGCTAGGGATGAACAATCACCAAAAGCCTTCCCACACTCAATACATTCATAGGGCTTCTCTCCAGTGTGAACCCTCTGATGTTGAGCAAGGTGTGCAAGCTGGCTGAAGGCTTTATTACACTGCTTACATTGATAAGGTTTTTCTCCAGTATGAACTCTCTGATGTTGAACAAGATGAGCATTCTGGCTGAAAGCCTTCCCACATTCAATACATTCAAAGGGTTTTTCCCCTGTGTGTATTCTCTGATGTTGAGCAAGGTGGGCACTCTGGCTAAAGGCCTTTCCACATTCAATACATTCATAGGGTTTCTCTCCAGTATGAATTCTTTGATGAAGAGTAAGGGTTGAGATTTTGCTGAACATTTTCTCACAGTCATTACATTTTAAAAGTTTCTTTTCTCCATAGACTTGCTTGTGTTTTTTTACAACTGAATGTGTTTTTGAGCTTTTCTTATCTGAATCAAAATTATATATCCTCTTTTCCATGGGAAAAACCTGCTTTATGTAAGATAATGTATTCAGATGAAAAACTGTCCCAGATTTGTTAGAGTAGTCTCTTTTCTCAGTAAGGTTATCTATACGAGTGATTATTTCTTGCCTAAAGTGGGTCCTCTGACTTACCGGCTCCCTCTCTGACAGGTCTTGACATTTCCAGTTTTCCCCTAAAGTGGAATATTCGAGGTCATAGCTTGTAAGTGTTTCCATTATTATTGCCTGGGGTAATTTTTCTTCATAAACATCCTGCTTTGGAGATAATTCCTTAGTCACCCATACATACTCCAAGTCTGAAAGATATTAAGAAAGCAAATGTCTCCTTTATTAAATGCTAGAAGAATGGAAACCTCAAAAATGAAACCAAGTGAATCAAACAGTTACTGAGGCCCACAAAAGGTACATTTTTTTTTTTTTTTTTGAGACAGGATCTCACTATGTTGTCCAGGCTGGCCTTGAACTCCTGGGCTCAAGCAATCCTCCCACCTCAGCCTCCCGAGGAGCTGGGACTACAAGGGCATACCACTGTGCCTGCCTTAGCATGTTAACAGTTTTTAGGTAAGAACAGGTGATGCAATCATCCTTTCATTCCTGCAATAAATCTTCGCTGGTTATAATGTATTATTTTAATAAGATCTTTGAAGACTTTACATCCATATTCATAACTGGGATTTGTAATTTCCTTTTTTGGTGCTATTTTGATTTTAGTATCAAATGTTATGTTGTTTTCATAAACAAAAAATTTTAAGCTGTACTTTTTATTCTCTATTCTGGAATAATTTAAACAATGTTGGTAATATTTTTCCTTACAGGTTTCACATAAAATTAATTTGTAAAACTATTTGGGGATGTGGCTTCTTTTCTTGGGGGAGGCAGTTCATATACAACTTTCTATATTTCTTTCATGATAACTGGTCTATTTAAATTTTCTGCCTCCTCTGGTGTCAGTTATGATTAATTTGTATTTTCATATTCTCCCAGAATATCATCTTTCTGTTTTTCGAATTATTTACAGAGTTGAGGAAAATAGATTCATACGGTTCTTTTAAGTTCTTATGCATCTGTGGTTATCCTTGTCTCTTTTTTGTGTTTTCTCTCATTTGCCCTGACATATATATATTATTGGCTTTCTAAAGAAGTACATATAAGACTGGATTTATTTTCAGTAGATCTACTGTTTTCTTATTCATTTATTCCTACTTTTATTTCTAGAAGTACAAAATAACTATATATAACTTATTTTAATTTACTAAAATTCATTTTGTTTTTTTCCTAATATCTTGAATTGGATGCTTATTTATTTTAATTATTTCTTATTTATTACTGTACATAGTTAGGGCTACAGTAACCTACCAAAAATACTCTTCTTGAAACTGTAAGAACTGAAAGCAGGAAAAGCCATCCCACAAGCCACAAAATAAACTGTGACCATCTCATTGAGGCTCATTTCTTTGCAATATATATCCACGGTCTCTTATCTAGCTTTCTAAACCAGAAAATAGCTCTGAAGCAAAATAGGGAAATAAGAAAAAAAAATTTGAATAGCATAAACTAAGCCCAAAATCCCACTGAGTACAATGTAAATGGAGAAATGATGGACATAGGGGAAGAAGGTAATATTTGTGAACTAATTTCTTCATCTTTCATATGGGTATCAAAAGATGAAGTTCTGAATTTCAAGTGGATGAATTTCAAAATACAGATTTTAAAAAAATAAAGACATAAGTAAAGGTAACAATGTATAGAACTAAAAACCTTTCCAGTTCAAGGGCTGAGGTGGTGTAAAGGGGAAAGAGAGGAAACACAGACATACTAAAACATCAAAGCAAGAATAAATAACAGGCTGGGCACAGTGGCTAGCACCTGTAATCCCAGTGCTTTAGGAGGCTGAAGTGGGAGCATCACTTTGTGACCAGGAGTTCAAGACCAGCAACATAGTGAGATCCTGTTGCTACAAAAATTAAAAATTAGCCAGGCATAGTGGTGCGTCCTATCTACTCAGAAGGCTGAGGTTGGAGGATCCCTTGAGCCCAGGAGTTTGAGGTTACAGTGAGCTATGACTGGGCCACTGCACTTCAGCCTGGGTAACAGAGTAGGACCCTATCTCATTCATAAATAAGTAAAGGAACAAATAACAAATGAAACAAAAAAGATAAAAATAATTAAAGGCAGAGAGAAGAACATAGATACAATATATATTAACACAATAAACTCACCTTTTAAAGAAAGGAAAATATTTAAACCAGTTCAAAAACTAAACACAAATTTGTCTAAAAAATTCAGAAATGCTTAAAATCAGGGATGCTTACCATAATATGGTACTTGAGCAGAACTAGGTAAGTATCAGTGGCACAAGGGTTCAGAAATAGACCCTGGTATGTATCAGAAATCAGTAAAGGTAAAGGAGGTAGTCATACCAGTTGGGAAGAAAAGAAACATTCAAAAACTGGTATTAGAACAAGTTTCAATTAGGGAGGGAGCTTGAGAAGTGTTTTACAACAAATATCAGAGAGAAGAACATCTTGAAAATAGATTCTCCATCTCTTGGTATCTTGTACTCACCTGGCCACAGGCCTCCGGTGATCTCTCCTTTCATCACCCAGGGTTCTTTCTCTTGCTCCAATAAGGAGATCACATCTGGCTTAGAAATACAAAGACCTGCATATAAAAAAAGATATAAAAACTGGTTAAGCTGTGAGTAATCCAGAGCTATGATCCAGTCCAAATGGTCTCAAGGCCATTTTCTAGGAAAATGCTGATAAAGGCACAAAGACTGCTGAGTCATGGAGAAGTGGAAGAAAGAAGGTAGGCTTACCTACTGAAACCAGATTCCTGTAGTTTTCCAACATCACCTTCCGGTACAGACTTCTCTGAGCAAGATTCAGCCACTCCCACTCATCTTGGGAGAAGTCTATGGCCACATCTCTGAAAGTCACCAAACCCTAAAATGACACAAATATAATTTTTCCCAGTGTGGCCCTAGGGTAAAGAGCTATGCTGTTCTTACTTTGGGAAAAAACATTGTGCTTAAGCAACTGCACCAAGGGTCTAAATGATCCAGGTCAGGTAGTTACTGGACAGCTTCTCTACCTAGCTATATAATACGTATTAGGAAAAAGAAAAAATGAGATACTCTCTGCTCCTCAAACATTTACAATTCTATGGTGGTAAGAATACATTCTCACATGAAAAAACGTTGATTACATTCAAAACAGGATATAATCATGTGCTAAATTATGTTACTTATGTTAGGAGCTGAATCACTTCTCTACATGAAGAAATTAAAGAGCTCTGGGACTGTTAAGGAAAGTTGCTGACCTGATGAATATGATTTCAATCTCCACAGTATTTTCTAAGAAATCTTAGTGCTCTTGAGATGTTAAGAGGTATGCCTAAAAAATGAAAGAAAGTAAAGAAAAACACCTAGCAAGACTCTTTTCTTTTGAAATAAAAATATTTGTATTAGGAGAGAAGAACACATTTGCAAAGTTGTTTTTTGGTAATTTCCTGGGAAGTATCAGAAGAAATCGTGTGATATGAGCACATGTTGAGCAATCTGTGCTTTCTTACATGAGCTGCTTTCCTAACCAACCAGCAAGGTGATCCACTCCATGAATGCTGACAGATTTTCTATTTATTTTGTGATTTTACTTATATCTAAGTAAAATAGTTTTAAGTAAATGCCAGTCTTGAATGAAACTAGAAAAAAGGTCTGATTACACTAAAGAATTCAGACTCTGGTATGGACTAGCTGAGTGATCTTAGCCAAGTTAATTAACTCCCCTGCGCTTCAGTTTGCCCATCTGAAAAATGGGAATAATTTTAGTATGTACCTCACAGTAGCACTGTGAGAATTAAAGAAACAGGCATAAAGTACCTGGCACAAAGTGACTGCTCAACAGTTGTTGCCTATGATAGTGAAGAAGGAAGGAAGGGAAAGAGAGGAAGAAGAAGAGCCCAAAAAGAACAGGTGAAACCTTTGGTTTAATACTTCAATAAAAGTTTATTTTATCTACCTGCAATATACTACAGTAGTTAAGACAAGACATGGTCTCCAGAATCCAGACTACCTACGTTCAAATACTGTTCTGTTCAATAAGTCTAAGCTATTAGTTTTGTTTTCAACCATTGAACACATTTTGAAGAATTCGAGAGAACAGTCTACTGTATTTACGTACAGTATTAACCATTTCTGTCGCCCTTCCTTCAGCCTGATGTTCTAAGTTCTCTTCTGGTTTAATTTCTATCTGAAGAACTTCCCTTAGCAATCATTTCAGAATTCTAGCAATAAATTCTCTTAGTTTCCTTCATATGAGAAACTTTATTTCACTTTCATTCCCAAAGTCTATTTTCACTGGACATAGAATTCTGGGTTGATAGTTATTTTCTTTGAGCACTTGTAAAAATTTGTTCTACTTCCTTTGGAAGCTTCCATGAAGAAATCCGTAGTCATTCAAATCACTGTTGCCCTGTGTGTTACGCATCATTATTCTCTGGCTGCTTTGTGAGCTATTTTTCTTTGTCTTTAGTTTTCAGCAGTTTGGTTATCAAGCTTCCAGGCAGGGATTTCTTTGAGTTTATCACATTGGGGTTTGCTGAGCTTCATGGATCCAAAGGTTTATTATAACTGTCATTAAAAGTTTGGAAATGTTTAATGATTATATGTTCAAAAAAAATTTTTTTTTTTTTAAACTCTGCTTTCTCTTCTCCTTTTCGAATTCCAGTGATACACATGTCAGATGTTTTGGTATTATACCAGAGGGCCCTGAGACTTTGTTTGATCTTTTCTTCTGTTGTTCATGTTAGATAATTTCTATTTATCTTCAAGTTCACTAACTCATTCCTCTGTCATCTCTATTTTCCCATTAAGCCCATCCTGTGAGTTTCATTTGGTTCTATTTTTCCAATCTTGTTTATAATTTCTATTTCTTTGCTGAGATTTTGTTTTTCCATTGTTTCAAGAGTGTCCAACCTTACTTGGAGCATTTTATAATTAATAGCTGCTTTAAAATCTTTATTCGACATTTGAGTCATATCAATGTTAATATTTGCTGTCTTTTCCTCTGTGAATTGAGATTTTCCCGGTTTTTCCTCGCTGAGTAACTTTGGATTTTATCCTGGACATTTTGGGTATTATGTTATGAAACTCTGAGTCTTGTTTAAATCCTACATAGAATATTGATACTTTGTTTAGACAGAAAATTCAAGCCAGCTTTCTGTGAGCTGTATTTCAACATCAGCTCCATTTCCAAAACCTGTGCAGTGATATTTGTCCCTGTCCTGCTTGTGCATCAGCAGTGGCCAGCCTGAGATCAGGACCGTGGTCTATCCCTGTGTTCACTTCTCAAAGGCTAGTACGCTCTTTGGGGTCAGACACACACATGAGCAGCTCAGAGCAAGCGCAGGAATTCACAAACGATGTTATGTGATTGATTTGAAAAGCCCCTCCCTCTCCTTAATTTCTCCAGTAACTTTCATTTTCTCTAGGACTCCCTTTATCCATCCTCTGGCCTTACCTGGGGCTTATTCATTCCATTCCACTGTATATTTCCCACGACTGTACCCACCCCTGGGGCCAAGCAGGGAGAGGACAAAAACAGAAAAAAGCAAAGAGGGTTTACCACACCCTCTTGGGAACATAGCTTTTCTGAACAGAGAGGAAATTTTTCTTCCCTCGGAGTGTCAGAGTTTTGCAGACCCCCCATTTCTACTATCAGGACACAAGAAAACATAAAATATTTTATTTTTTATTTTTTTAGAGACAGGGTCTCACTCTATTGTGAGGATGGAGTGCAGTGGTATGATTTTAGCTCAATGTAACCTCTAACTCCTGGGCTCAAACGATCCTGCTTTAGCCTCCCAAAGGGCTGGGATTACAGAAGTGAGCCATTGCACCCCAAAAGAAAATTTTCTCCCCTCTTCTCCCCTGAGCGCTAGGAGATCCCTTTTCCACCCCTTGAGCCTGAGCTAGAGGGCTTCTCCAGCTCTTTGTGTTCATGCCAACACGCACTTCCAGGGTATGCTAAATCCACAATACCAGAAGATAACAGAGGGACAAAAAAGTAAACACACTACAGTTTGGTGGTACTTCAAATTGTGGGCTCTTCCCCATCCTGCCTGCTAGCATTTACTTTTCAGGACCTCACACTGCTGCTCCAGGCATGCTGTCCTTGTTTTATGGGAGCTGTCAGTGGGAAAGATAGGTAGAGTGTGCTTAGTCCATCTTACCCAGAACCAGGACTCTCTCAAATTCAGTGTAAATTATTTTTAAAATTATTATTCCACTGGAAATAAAATGCAAACATACATTATACTGTAGTTCTTCAATTTATGTATGTACGTATATATGAAGAACTTAGTCATTCTTCAACAATAAGCAAATAGTAGCTTACATAGCTAACGTTTATATAGTGCTGACCATATTCCAGATACATTTCTAAATACTTAAAACTAAATTAACTCACTCATCCTTACAACAGTCCTATAAATTAGGTACTATTATTATCCCCATTTTATGGTTGAGGAAACTAAAATTAAGTAATTGAAATTAAGTCAACATACCTAGTATATAGTGAAGCTAGATTTGGTACCTAGGCGGTCTGGTTCCAGAGTCCATATTATTAACCTTTATTAATTGTACTCTGCCACTCTTAAAATATTTTCCTCTGGCAAATGACAATAATGCTTTTGTTTAAAAAGTTTAAATGCTCTAAGAAACAAGTTCCATTGGTAGTGCATGCTTTTTGGCACTGTATCTAAGAAAAGGTGTGGTGCTATTGCCATAAGTTGTTTGTTGTGTCTCTGATATAAAATAAAAAAAATTTATTCCAAGTTATTTTTTATTTAATTTTCTAAGCTTATAAATCAAATTCAATAATTTCTTACAATGATGAATTTGCTAGTGAAACCAGGTTAGCAGTTTACTTTAATCAGAACACGAACTGCAGCACTTAAACTTTTATTGTTGGTTGTAAAAATATTAAAATTAAAAATATTCCAGAACAGGGTCAGTTTGATAAACTCTAATCCACAAGGAATGAAAAACTAGGGATTTAGTCAAAGAAAATAATCAGAGATGACGGCAAAAACGCAACTACAAGAATGATTACTGTAAGACTCTCTGTTAAACAGCAAAACAATGGCAACAATTTACCTATGGAATTACAAGAGGCTGATTAAACAGGTTATGGTATTCGTCCCAGAAAGAAAAAACGATGTAGAACATTCCCTGGCCTTTTAAGATGCTCCTGGCTCCGTGGCCAAGTGCGGAGGGGAAACCTGTGTGTGCTCTGGCCAGAATGCCGCCTGTCCCTTCAAGATGCAACTCCGTAAATTCTCCCCAACTCTTCCTCCCCTCAGCAGTGGGCATGATTATGCAGGCTCTACCCCACGCAAGGATCTCTCACTAAGGAAGTAAGAAGCTAAAATACATTAGACTTCCTCTTGCCAGGTTGTGTGGCCTGTCACAGAGCTTCACTAGTCCAGAGGAAGGGCCACTATTATTTTCTAATTCACCCAAAGACACCATATACTTATCACATTATGTAAGTGCTTACTGCTTTTTCATTTTTCCAACAGATTATGAGCTCTCTGAGAACCAGGACTGGGACTTAGGGACTAAGCACATTGCAGCTTTCAAATTTTCTCCAAGGACTATGCTTCTGCTTTGTTAGAAAAGGTTGAGCACAGGGCAGGGCTCAGACTGGGTCGTTTCTTCAGTGAAAAATAAACACTGAGCAGGGAGAAGAGGAACCTCTGAGAGCACACTGGGCTGTCTCAGTCTGTCCCTCACTCCTGGTCCCCTCACTCATCAGAAAGGCAGGAAATGGGAAACAGGCCCCAGGGTGGAACTCTTAAGCAGACAATTTTCAGAAGAAAACATACATTACCAAATCCTGAAAAGCAAGACCGTATGTTAGCAGGGAGAGAGGGCATACTAACTCACCGGGGACATGACTTTAAGAAGTTCAATTCCTGTCACCTCCGCCTCTTCCTGGCTCTTCATTTGGAGAAGAGCTATACTTGGAGAAGGCAGAGCTGGAGAAGGAGAAAGGAGCAGTGAGAGACCAAGTACCACTAACGGCCACAGCACAGAAACCCTCCCTTCCCTTCAGCTCCTTCTGTCCTCCCTCACCTCCCACCTCCGCCCCGCCCCAAGTCCAGGCACTCGTTGGGGGACCTGCAGTTACAGCTGGGGTTTCCCTTTGCTCTGGGTTTTTGGGCTGAGCACATCTCTTGCCATCCCCCTACTCAGCCACCCGTTTATTAACATCAGACATGTGCTAAGTGCGCTGCACATAGTAACACTCTCTTTTAATCTCCAATCTTCAAAGAAAGTCAGGACATTGTCACTATTTTACCTATGAAAGCCATGGGAAGTGAAGCTCATAAATAATGGAACCCAGTCACCAAGCTATGTCTGCCCGACTCTACCACCCAAGTTATTTGCTGAGGTAGACACCAGAAAACAACAGAAAATATGCCCCCTGTGAAACTGGCCAGGATTTGTGCAGAGTGTGTAAGACTTAATTCCTTGGAGAATGCCATCTTCCCCCCAGAGAGGTGTTACCTTTGTTACAACAAAGAGCCCATCAGCTTGCAGATAATTAGACCAAAAATCATCACGAGACTCAGGTTCTTATTTTGCTTTGTGACAAGCTATAGTTTTGAAGAGGTTCCTTAACACCCCTGAGCCAAGTTTCTTTAATCAGGAAGAGGATAAAGTATTTGAATTAATTCTGGCTTCTTTCCTCTAAACTCCACTGCCTTCTCAAAGGATTATTATAATGACGATAGTAATGAACACTTACTGGACATTTATTATGTGACAGGGACTATACCAAATGCTTTATAGGTACAAGCTTATTTAATCGTATGACAATCCTGTGAGGTATATAACATTATCATCCCCATTTTACATAAAAACTGAGAGTTGTAAAGTTTAAGAAAAAACCCCAAAACCTGCTTAGTGGAGGTTTGGGGATATGAACTTGTGAAGTTATTCAACCTTCTCAGAGTCAGTTTCAACTGTCAAAAAGTGGTCAAGAATACCGACCTCAGGCAATTGTTGATGGGATCACATGACAGCTGGCACAGAGAGGAACTCTGGAGTCAGCCTGTTCTGGATCTGAATCCTGGCTCTTCTACTTACTGGTGGTTTGTTACTCTCTCTGTGCTTCAGTGTCCTCATCTATAAAAGGAAGATAAGGTATTAGTAGTTCCTACTTCCTAATGTTGTGAGGCTTGGTGTTAATACTCCCAAAAGGTCTTAGAACTGCATCTGGCATGTAGTGAGCACTTACCAAACATTAACTATTATTCCTGCATGCAAGACAACAAGCAAAGAACAATATGGCTATAAACAGCAATTCTTTCCCCTCTTTCATTACGGGGGAGGGTCAGAGGGAGGGAGAGAAATTAAAGGAATGACGATATTTTCCTTCGTTGACTAGAAAGTGACTATGCCATAGAAGGACTGGAATTTCTCAGCTTTTCTAGATGAGGCTGTCGATCTCACCTTCTTCCCAAGTCCCATCCCACCGCAATAAATGGGTAAAAAACTAAATGCTGAGATCTTTCTTGAAGAGCAACAGAGCACCCAGAGGTTGTAACAGGGAATGTCCTCTCCACGTGGCTCCCTGGCGACACCCCAAGGGCCTGGGTGGGGCGGGGCGGATCTGGTTAGGTGACCCCGGGCAAGTCAAGATCCCTCCCTAAACCCAGATCCACACTCTGGCCCAAGGCGACCCTCCAAATCTTTGGACTCCTGGGTCCACCAGCTTTAGAGGACAGCTCCCAAACCTCAAGTTCCACTCTCGCAGCTGCACCCACGCCACCTGTCACTCTTACCTCTGTACCGAGTCTCAACGGTCTCCGCTCCGCCCTGGCTCGTGGACGCGGGGACGCGTCCTGAGCTCCGCCCCTCCGTGTAAGGCGGCCGAGAACTGCTCTAGCTTCAGCTGCCCCGCATGGGCACCTTCCAGGCTCCAGGGCCTCGCGTCGTTGATTTGCGGGCGGGGCGGGTACTGAGTCTCCTGCAGGTGGCTTTCCTGCTCTCAGTCACGTAAGGGGCTTCAGTCATTCCAAGACGCACCGTCTTCCGCACGCTGCGGGGACACGAGCACAGACACGCACAGTCACCCCCTGCCGCCCACCGGACCCCTCTGACACAGGCACAGTCCCTTTCATACGCATAGCCGCCTCCTCCCGGCGGTCCCGCACCCACACCACGCCCGGTCAGTTAAAGAGTGGCCGAGCCACGCACGCACGTTCACGCCCACCCCTAGTCGCCGGCGGGACGCCGACCTCACCGCACGCTGTGAACCAGCAGTGGCGTCCAGCCACACGCGTCCTTCCCCTCAACGCCGGGCCGGAAGTGCGCTCGCCGGCAAAACCCTTCCGGAAGTGGGCGTGTCCGATCGCCGCAACGACCCCTGGGAAATGTAGTCTTGAACGCGGGCAGCCCTCTCCTGGTCCTCCTGATCAGAGTCGAGTCCCTGGGAAACCTTGCAGCCCCGGGCCTGGGTCCTGGAAGTACAGGCCACCCTCATCAGGCGAACCGCACCCCAGGCGCTTCTGGGAGCCGTCTCCAGGCTCCCGGTGCGCAGGCGCAGCTGTCAGCCATGGTAACTTAGAGCCCCGTCCCAGCCCGCAGGCGCGACGGCCCGTGGTGGGCGGGGTCGCAGGAGGCGTGGGCGCGCAGGCGCAGGCGTGTTGGCTTCCTCAGGAGAGGAAAACCACGGAGAGGGGCGGGGCTTAGGTGGCGGGGCGGGGCTTGGGCGGGGATTAGGCGGGGGCGCCTGTGGGACAGGAGAGTGAAGACAGTTGCATTTGCCTGGTGCTTTGTGCACTTGTGATTTGTGACTTTCTGACTGTGTGCATACGTAACCTGTTTTATTTCAAGCCAGTTATCGCTCTCTGATGGAATCTACTCCCCTTTCTCTCCCCCCGTTTTGTCTGTCCCTGCTAGAATCTCTGACAGCACACAGCTTCAGTCCTGTTGAGGATACATCCTCAGTGACGAAGAGAGTTGGCATGTACCTGCTAAGGAAAAAAAATCACTAAATTTAGCGTTAGCAGTCTCACCATGAAACAGCATGTCATGGGCTGAATGTGTCCTCCCAAAATGAGTGTGTTGAAGCCCTTACACCCAATGTGATGGTAGTAGGAGGCAGGGCCTTTGGGAGGTAACTGAGTTTAGATTAGGCCATGAGGGTGAGACCCTCACGATGGAATTAGTGCCCTTATCAGAAGAGGAAAGAGAGGTCTTTGTGCTCATGCACCAGTAGGAAAAGGCCATGTGAGCACACAGCAGGATGGAAGCCATCTGCAGGTCAAGAGGGCCCTCACCAAGATCAGAAGCTGCCAGCACTTAACCCCCCAGCCTCCAGAACTGTGAGAAATTCAGTCTGTTGTTTAACTCGCCCACTCTATGGTATTTTCTTATTGCGGCCCCAGCTGACCAAGACACATCACAGATATGGGTCCACCACACATCACCCAAAGACTAAGTCACCCTCCCACACACAGTCATTCAGGGCCACACAGTCACATCTAGACTCCAGCTTTCCTGGATCCAATTTTCCTCAGACTTCATAGACTCCATAATGAAACTAAGTCTAGCCGTGAAGATGCTTTCCTTAAGGAACTGCAAATGGCATCTTAGTGTTTGTAACATTTTATGGTTGATTATTTGAGTTGGATAAAAATGATATTAATACTCTCATTTTAGCTCTGACATACAAAGATCTTGGGAGCCTTCACTCCCATACTCACAACAAACTGAAAATCAACAACTTTTCTTAGATCCATCAGAGAACTGAGGACACAAAGGAAACTGCCACCCTGAAATTTAGAGACAGGCAAATACACAAATACATAAAATAGCAGCCAATATCAGCTTACCTTAAGCAGAAGCCACTGAAAACATAAATTGGTAGACACTTTTAATTGATAGTTTTTTTTTAATTTATTTATTTTTTATTTTTTTTATTTCAGCATATTATGGGGGTACAGATGTTTAGGTTACGTACATTGCCCTTGCCCCCCTTAATTGATAGTTTTGATGAATTGCTGGAGGCGTGGTGTGGACTAACTTGTGAGTTAAAAACTCCTAGGGGCCTCATCTTAGATGGGCACTCTCACTCTCATGAACTCTCCAGGAACCCCACCATGTTCTTACAATGAAGAAAGGAGGAAGAATCTCCTGTTTGGGGCAGGGGGAAGGGAGGAGTAACCAGAGCATTCTCCATAACAAATGCCTGCACTTCAAGGAAAACTACTTACTCTAGAGTCTTATTGGACCTGGGGAGAGGCAATTGGCCAGCTCTAGCCCCTCCAGATCCTTCCTGTCTCAGTAACAGCAGGATGAAAAAAGGCTAAGAAACACTTCTGAAGATCACAGCCCAAGGACTCAAGCCCACTAGAAACATGAGATTTAATCATAAGACTACAGAAACTTCTCTTCCCCAGTACTTCACTACCACACTGAGGGGACTCTGCTGTAATAGCTTTCTCAGTTGCAAGGCAGACTCTATTTAAGAAGGAGCTCTTACGCAAACCCAAACAGGGAGAAGGAAAAAAACAAAGAAACCAGAGGAAACTGAAGTCTCCAGCACCTACAGCTATGGCAAACATTAAACACAGCCCAGATCCTAGCCAGGATAACGTAAAACGTCACACCAAAAGCCAATTTCCTTCAGTATATACTATCTAGCACATCATTTCCAGCTTTCAGCAAGAAATTACAAGTCATTCTAAAGGCTGAGAAAAAACACAGCCTAAAGAAACAAAGCAAACATCAAAATTAGACTCAGATAGAGCAGAGTTTTTGGAATTATCAGACCAGGAATGTAAAATAACTATAATTAATATGTTAAGGTCATAATGGAAAAAGTAGACAACAAGCAAGAACAGATGGGTAATGTTAGCAGAGAGATGCAAAGTGTAAGAATCAAAAGGACATGTAAGAGATTGAAAACACTGTGATGGAAACGAAGATTGCCTTTGAAGGGCTCATCAGTAGAGTGGACATGCTGAGAAATCAGTGACTGAGCTTGAATATATGTTAATAGTAATTTCCCAAACTGAAATACAAAGAGGAAAAATTAGACTAGAATATCCAAAAACTGTGGGACGATTACAAAAGGTGAAATATGTATATAATCAAAGGACCAGAAGGAAAAGAAAGAGAAGGGAGAGGAAATATTTGAGGTAATGATGACTGAGAATTTTCTAAAGTTAATGACACCAAACCACAGATCCAAAAAGCTCAGAGAACACTGAGCAGGATAAATTCCAATACATACATACACACACGTACACACACACACATACATGTGCACACATATCTAGACGTATTATATTCTAGCTACAGAAAATCAAAGACAGAGGTAAAATTTTGAAGGAAGCCAGAGGGAGGAAAAACACCTTACTCTTACTCATAGAGGGACAAGGATAAGAATCACATCAGACTACTCATTAGAAACCACGCAAGCAATTGGTACTGATCAGTTCTGAAAGAAAGAAGGAAGGAGGAGGGAGAAAAGAAAGTGGGAGAGAGGGAGAAATGGGGAGAGTAAGAGGGAGAAACCATCAAGCAAAAAGAGAATGGAGTAAAATATTGCAGCTGTTGAAAGGAGGAAAAAAAAAGCCACTGACACAATTCTATATCCGGAAAAATTATCATTCAAAAGTGAAGGAGAAATTGGTCAAATAAAAGTAAAAAGGGGCCGGGCGCGGTGGCTCACGCCTGTAATCCTAGCTCTCTGGGAGGCCGAGGCGGGCGGATTGTTTGAGCTCAGGAGTTGAAACCAGCCTGAGCAAGAGCGAGACCCCGTCTCTACTAAAAATAGAAAGAAATTAATCGGACAACTAAAAATACATAGAAAAAATTAGCCAGGCATGGTGGCGCATGCCTGTAGTCCCAGCTACTTGGGAGGCTGAGGCAGAAGGATTGCTTGAACCCAGGAGTTTGAGGTTGCTGTGAGCTAGGATGATGCCACGGCACTCTAGCCTGGGTAACAGAGTGAGACTCTGTCTCAGAAAAAAAAAAAAAGTGAAAAGGATTTGCCACCAGTACACCTGCCTTACCAAAAAAAAATGTTAAAAGAAGTTCTTTGGAAAGAAAGAAAATGATATAGGTAAGAAATTCATATATACATAAAGAAAGGAAGAGTATCAGAGAAGGAATAAATTAAGGTGAAGCAAATGTTTGATTATTCTTAATTGATCTAATAGGTAACTGTTCAAAGTAATAACAGCAACAATATATTGATGATTATAGCCTGTAGATAAGTAAAATGGATGACAGCAATATTATAAGGGATGGGAGGGAGAAACTGGAAATACTCTTTGTTATAGGGTACCTGCAATGCCTGGGTATCAATAAGTGTTACTTGAAAGTGGACTTAGGTTAGTTGTAAATACTGCAAACTTTAGAGAACCCAATAAAAGTTAAATAAAAAGTGTAACTGATGTACTAAGAGAAGAGAGAAAATTGAATAATATGAAATTCCCATTTAAAACCAGAGAGGGCAGAAGAGTTGGAAGTAAAACAATATTGATTATGTAAACTGATCATCAATCTGGCAACCTTCCTCTCTTATAGATTCTAATTTGGTTTTATGGGTAGATGTTCATATTATCTGCCAATAATTCTAGTTATATCTGTTTTCTTGCTATCATTAAGTCTCGTAATTGCTTTTTTCTCCTTAGAGAATGGCCAGGACCTCCAGTACTATGTTCAACAGTAGCAGAATTTAATGTAATTATATATATGGTTGGATTTAAGTTCATCATTTTGCTATTTTATCTTTTTTTACCACCTATTTTCAGTTTCTTTATTCCTCCTTTTCTGACTTCTTTTGGTTAGCTAAATAT